TACTTCTCAGTATATATTTATGATTATCACATACATATTATTTTAGACACAAATGCATATATATATATATATATATACACACACACACAAAATTTGCGCACTGGGCCGTTGGCTTGGTTCTGTACCCCCAGAGCGTGTGAGCATTTCTTAAAGTATTTTAAAATGTGTTTAAAATGGATCCGTGACGTCAATTTTTTGCTCTCTGTAAAATTAGGCTATGTCGGGTTCCCTCTGCCTGTTTTCTATTGGGTAGCATACTACTTGATAGTGTATAAAAAGCTGCAGCCCTATTTATAACACCCCACGATGCAGGAAAGGAGCATTAATCTTGTGTGGTAGACGCTTTACATTCTTTTAGAGAGTTGCCAGCCACAGCGCTTTTGTGCGGGGGGTGGAGGGTGTTCTAACAATAGGAACAGGCATTGCCAAAGCCAGCCAGGCGTACCTCTGAGATCGCACCACCGCAGCACCTCCCTGCCTCTTGCCTCTCACCCTTCCTGTGGGCTGGGTACAGGCAGAAGCTGAGTGATTTTTGCACTCCTGCATCTGCCCTGAATTCTAAACAGACTTTAAAATCTTTTATCTTATCCTTGGGCAGAGCTTCCTCCGCCTCCACATTGCTGGGTTGGCATATCTTCACTGTGACATAACCAAAGACGTGTTATCCAGGGTGAAGATTCTACAAAAAGTGAACCTCCTACCCAGGTTTCCCCGGGAGGCCAAGACAAGCCTCCTCCTGCCTGTGGGGGAAGAGCTCCAAATTCCACTCTAGCCCGGTCTGCTCTGGTGACAGGCAGACCTGAAGGGAGATGATGTTGGAATTTCACACGGGGCTGTTCCATAGTTCTTGGTTTTGTGAAGTTATGACATGATCCTTATGAAACTCCAGGGTAAATTGTTTGTATGTGTGCTGTAGATACATATTTTTTTTTTATATTTCAAATTAACCTAACTACTTTATAGTAATTTAATTTCAGTATATAATTTCCCCAGTCGATGCTGGTCATGCGGTGAAAGACTTACAGGAACTTATAGGATGCATGCTTATTTGGGAAATTATTTTTTTCATTTTGTGTTTATGTATAATTATTATCAGTATAAATATTGACAGGTAACATTAATGTATCTGTACTTTACATATCAAAAAATTAATTTCCATATTAAAAATATAGTTGGTGTTAGGTTAAGACTGATTTCTATTTTATATCTAAATCAAGGAACAAATAACTTCAAGTAAAGGTTTGAATTACATCTAAATATCCAAGCCTAAAATGAGGTTATCTATAGCTTCTGATAAGTAATATTAGTAGCTACCATTACCTGAGCATTTTCTAAGGGCCATATTCCAAGAAGCTTATAGGAATTTTCTCATTTAATCCTCTCATCAACCCTGAGGTAGGTACTATTATTATTCACTATTTACAGACTAAGAATGGAGACACAGAGGGATAAAAACCACCTGTCCACGTTCATATGGCATGGAAATGGTAGGTCTACTAGTAAGTTCCAACCATAGTTAATTAATAGAGAGGTGATTATTCTTCATCACTATTTTCCTGCTGTTTCCTGCCATGCAGTAACACTCAGCTTAAATTCAGACCTGTGTGCTGTCGTATGTTGGGGTCATGAATGGTTGCTTGCATAGCAAACTCTTTCGCTTTGATGGATCTTAGAAACAGACATGTAAATTTCGATTCATTAATTTCTCTCTTGTCCTCCCATGCTAGTGAAATTAGATGGCTGACATAAAATAAGTTTAGCAAAGATATATACAAATAATGAATGTATTCTATAAGTAAAACATAGATCATCTTCTAGAATAACACAGTATACTAGTATTAATATATAGAAAAATGGATACGAAAATGAGACAGATTTTCAACTTTATATATTGGGCATAAAGGACAATTTTCATATATTGATTTCAGTATATCAAATGTGTCCTGAATATCCAATAGGAGGAAGATTAAATACCTAATAGTACACTTATAAAATGATGACAGAAACCATAGTCATTAAATTTATCTTTCTGGCCCAGCCGGTGTACCTTTATGGTTGAGCATTGTCCCATGAACCAGGAGGTCATGGTTCAATTACTGGTCAGGGGACATGTCTGAGTTATGGGCTCAATCCCCAGTAATGGGTCTGCAGGAGGCAGCCGATCGATGATTCGCTCTCATCATTGATGTCTTTATCTCTCTCTACCTCCCTCTCCTTTCCTCTCTCTGAAAATCAATAAAAACATATTTTAAAAAATTATCTTTCTGAGGAATACCTAATGACAGGGGAAACTGTCCGTGATATCATGCGAAGTGAAGCAGCAGGAACTTACGTGGATTATACCTTAGTGTTGCTATGTGTGCCTGTGCATGTTGTCTGTGTTTAGAGTCTCAGCTCAATGAGAAGCAAGCCTGACATGGTTTTACTTTTTCAGTCACTTTCCTTAATTTTGATCTATCACATGTCTGTTTCCTGTTGGGTAGTGGCTTCCTTACCACCTTTCTGCCCAGATCTTCTCAATTTTGTATTTCCAGAGGGACTGTTTGATTTAGCAGATTCAGTTCTATTTATAAAAACTCCCATGCCATAACCAAATTAAGATACGATTAGCCAGACCCTGGAGTCTAGAGTGAACGGTGGGGCACAGTTGGCTCTCATGCTGCTCCTCTGTCTACCTGTCCTTTCACCCAGGAGGTGGGGAACCATGGACGAATGGTGGGATGGAGGTGTTCTTGCCTTATAGACTTGGCAAGGCTGCGATGCTGTTCTTGGTAAATGATTGCTATTCTGGTTATCTCTGTGGGTCATAGGTGCTCTAACTGACCTTGTGCTCCCTTGGGGATTGGGAGTCCCTGATATCTAGCTGCATCTGCCAGCTCACCCCCAGTTGAAAACAAAAGGCTCCATTTCACAACAACATGTACCTCTTTTTTCCACATTGCTGCAGATGGTGATATTGTGTCCTCTCTTTTCATTTACATACCAACTACTAGGGCTTGAGGTCATATACAGAACCAATCTGACAACTAACATTCCTCTTGAAAACTCAGAGCTGCTGGGGCCCAGGCAGGTAGAGTTGGAGTGGGGTGTGGGGGCTCCTCTATATTTCTCTTCTCTGCTCAAGTAGCATAGGGAAGACTGGCAAGTCCATTGACAAAGCAGGCACCTAATTATGGAACAAAATGCTAGTCTCCCTTTTATGCCAATTGCTTGGCTATAGGGGTGTTATGGGCTGAATTTTATTACCCCTTCAAAAAATGTTGGAGTCTTAATCCTCAGTATTTTCGAATATAAGTAACCTTATATGGAGATAGAGTTTTTACAGAGGAAATTAATTTAAAATGAGGTCATTAGGATTAGGTGACCCTAATCCAATGTGATAGATGTCCTTATAAAAGGGAAAAATTTTAGGAATTTATAGAGACAGACACACACAGAGGGAAGCTGATATGAACAGAAACAGGAACAAGAGGGCCATCTGCAAACCAACAAAGGAGGCCTAGAACTGATTTCCCGCTCCGAGTCCTCAGAAAGAACCAATCCTGCAACACCTTGATATCAGCCTTCTAAGCTCCAGAACTATGAAATGACCAATATCTATAGTTAAGCCACCCAGTTTTGAGGTACTTTGTTACAACAGCCCTAGCCAATTAATAGAGGGAGGAAAAGAAAAACCTATTTTCTCCCCAAAGGACAGAGGATGCAATAGTAGAGATAATTTTCCCCATAACTGTTAATTTTAGAGATGACTTCCCCTCCTCTTTGTCAGTATTATTATATTGTTGGGATTGGCAGGGCAGGGGTAGGAGTTGGCATCAAGGAGTGATGGTTGAGACTTGAGCCACTTCTCTGAATTAGTGACTGACACTTAACCACCGGCAATTCTTCCAGTATACTTAGAAGTCAGGGTGTTTACAGAACATTTAGATCTCAGCTTCTGGAAGAACAGGAGGATTCTCAGAGTGCACCCAAAACTATTCCGTGTGTGTGTGTGTGTGTGTGTGTGTGTGTGTGTGTGTGTGAGAGAGAGAGAGAGAGAGAAAGAGAGAGAGAGAGAGAGAAAGAGAGAAAGAGAATACTTTTTTTTCCTGAGAGGATTAATAATAAGTAGCAGCAAGATCACTTTCCCAGCACTGTCCCCAACCAAATATTGTAAGAATACTCTGGGCAGCAAAAAAGAGAATCAAAGGGGAAACAAAGAGACCTTAGATAACTTAGCCTGTGTGTGAAGGATCCTTGTTCCTTTCCCCATCGAGTCTCAAGGGGTGGGTGGAAATAACAGAAACCACAGGTGGCTTTAGACAAAGTAGTTTCATGCTTCTATTCCTCAAAAGGTATACAAACCATAAGACCCTGGTGTTCCCAGCCCTAACAAGGGTGGGCAGATAGACCCGAGGCAGTCTCCTGATTTTCTGTGGGCTTGGTGAGCATGGAGGCTGCTGAGTGAAATTGGGATAGAACTAAACAGTGCTAAGAGAGGAATTTATAGCACTAAGTGCTTATATTAAAAGCTGTGATACATTTATACCATGGAATACTATGCAGCAGTAAAAAAGAAGGATCTCTTACCCTTTGAGACAGCATGGAAGAACCTGTAGAGCATTATGCTGAATGAAATAAGCCAGCAAGAGAAAGACAACTATCACATGATCTCACTCATATGTGGAATCTAAAACAAAATAAACTGATGAATTAAATAGATCCAGAGACACAGAAGCAGGGAACAGACTGATGGATCTCAGAGGGAAGGTGGGGGTGGGTAGGTGGATGGGAAGAGAATAACCAAAGAACTTATATGCATATATACATAACCCATGCACACAGACAATAGTGTGGTGAAGGCCTGGGGTGGGGAATGGGTGCAGG